GGAGATGAGGAATTCATCAAATGGACGTCTGAGGGGAGAGAATTGCAGGCAGAGAAAACAACTAGGCCCCTAGCTGGGAGTATGCTTGGAGTGTCGGAGCAACAGAAAGATGGGTGTGGCTGAAGCAGACTGAATGAAGACTAGAGAAGTAAGAGACAGAATTGGAGTGGGAACCAGGGAGCAGGCAGTCAGTGGGGATCGGAGGTGCTGGGCCTTGTAAGCCATTATGAACACTTGAGTACTTACTCCAGTGGAAAGGGGAACTTGCACAGAACTGTGAGCAGCTGTGTCTCATGATTTGACTTCTGTTTTTAAAAGGACCACTGCGGCTGCTCTGTTGAGAACAGATTGTAGGGAAGCCAAGGCAGGGCCCAGGAAGTGGGGAGAGGGGTGTGGGGGTGAGGCTGCTGTAGTAACAGATGACATGGCTCAGATGAGGGTGATAGTGGTGGGGACACTGAGACACAGTTGAATAATCAGTATATTTTAAAGGTGGAGCTGACCTGATTAACTGATGGATTAGATGCGGGGTTGAGAGAAAAAGAGGAGTCAAAAAATACTTAAGAAGTTTTTGGCTTGAGCCACTAGAAGCATAGAGTTTCCATCAACTGAGATAGGAATAGCTGTGAGTGGAGCAGGGCTTTTGGGGGTAACTCAACAACAGGAAGGACTAAACTATAAACACATACAAGGATTTGAATGAATCACCAAAGGTATTTTGTCGAATGGAAAAAGGCAGTCCAAAAATATTTCATAGTGTTTGATTCCATTTGTAAAATATTCTGGAAAAGGTAAAGCTGTATGGATGAAAGAGGAATCAGCTTTGCCAGGGGTTAGGGTTGAGGGGTGGGTTTGATGGCAAAGGGGCAGGATGAGGGGATCTGGGTGATTAACTGGTCTGCATCTTAATCATGTCAGTGGGTACAAGAATCTATATCTGTTAAAATTCATATACTGTACACGAAAGCAAAGTTTATAATGTCAATTTAAAAATTAACAAATATTTAAAAATTTAGGCTGGGCATGATGCCTCATTCCTGTAATTCTAGCACTTTGGGAGGCTGGGGCTGGCAGATTGTTTGAGCTCAGGAGTTTGAAACCAGCCAGGACAACATGGTGAAACCCTGTCTCTACAAAAAAACATAAATATTAATGAGGTGTGGTGGCATGCATCTGTGGTCCCAGCTACTTGGGAGGCTGAGGTGGGAGGATCATTTGAGCCTGGGAGGCTGAGGCTGCAGTGAACCAAGATTGTGCCACTGCACTCCAGCCTGGGTGACAGAGTAAGACCCTATTGCAAAAAAAAAAAATAATTAAAAATATTATGTTGCTGTTTTAGGAAAGTAATATTTATCGGTGCATGGTAATTGTAGTATTTGTCAGCTTTTAAAATTATAATTTGATTTATCTATATATTTTAATTTAATTTATTTATTTATTAAGATGCAGTCTTGCTCTTGTCATCCAGGCTGGAGTGCAATGACGTGATTTTGGCTCACTGCAAACTCCACCTCCCGGATTCAAACGATTCTCCTGCCTCAGCCTCCTGAGTAGCTGGGATTACACGCATCAGCCACCATGCCCAGCTAATTTTTGTATTTTTAGTAGAGACGGGGTTTCACCATGTTGGCCAGGATGGTCTTGATCTCCTGACCTCAGGTGACCCATCCGCCGGCTTCCCAACGTGCTGGGATTACAGGTATGATCTGCCGTGCCCAGCCATTCTCCATATACATTTTTGTACCTGATTTTTTGTTCATAATATTTTACTGTTTTTCTTAAAATACAACAGCTGATAGCCACCTCTCTGCTGGATAGACCTCCAGTCCCACGAACCCCAGATCTGCCCCTGGAACAGACATCAGATGGGAGACCCTGTGCAGTCAGAGGCTCATCCTGGGCCCTCATTTCTGTTTGCTGGGACTGCCCTCTAATCGATCAGTGCTTACATACAAGTTCATCATCAACTTCTGTGGATTCAGGAGGTGGATTGAAGGGATGCTCGGACACTGGTGCCTGATGGGCAGAGCCCTGCAGGAACCAGTGTTATGAAAGCCTGAGGATGAAGACCGGTTTAGAGGTGACTGAACAGCAGAGAAGGCTTAAGGGCACCCATAGCATCTATTTTTAGGAGAACCTACCATCACCATGCTGTGGAAGGTGCCTCAGAAAGACTTCAACCACAAAGCATGGTCTGGGGGGCATTCAGGGTTATGGTGGCAAATACGGGTGGAAGCAACCGCTGGGATGAGCTCCATTTTGGCCAAGTGAGTATGAGGTGTCTGTGAGGCATCCAGGTGAAAATCTTGGGGAGGGAGTTGAATATGAGTCTGCAGTTTAGGAGAGAGGTGTGGGCTTCAAGTATCAACGCAGGAGTAACATTAATACGGTCTTTAGTTCTGGCTCAGACCTGGCTCTGACCAGGGAGTTCTTCCCTGTGATGAATTTCCCTGTCCTTCCTGTCACCCCCAGCCTACCAGCCTTCACTCCCCACCCTACCAACAATCCAGCCAAGGAAAGGAAGAGCACGCAGAAGACAGACAATTGATTTGGAGGTACAGGATGAGCAGGTTGCTTTCCTACAACCATTACCCATGCTTCCTCTCCAAGTAGGAAAGGAGGCCTAGGGCAGGGAGGAGGTAGTGTGGGTGGGGATCCAGTGAGAGCTTTCTTGCTGAGAGAGTCATGGAAACCTGATTGCCTATCAGGCTGAGTCCTAGGGATGGGATATTGGTTGACAACCCCCCAGATAGGGTTGTGAGATATAGAGATAGAGGTGATCTATGCCTCCTCTTCTGAATATAGCCCTAGGAACATCAGAACAGTAAAAGAGCAATGGTGTGTGGTACGTCCAGCAGATAAGGTCTGAACAACTCACAGTTGTCTGTCTCGAAAAAAAAAAAAACCATCATTATGGTCAGGCACAGTGGCTCACGCCTGTAATCCCAGCACTCTGGGAGGCTGAGGCAGGTGGATCACCTGAGGTCAGGAGTTCAAGACCAGCCTGGTCAATATGGTCAAAACCCATCTCTACTAAAAATATAAAATGTTAACCAGGCATGGTGGCACGTGCCTGTAGTACTAGCTACTCAGGAGGCTGAGGCAGGAGAATTGCTTGAACCTGGGGGGTTGCAGTGAGCTGAGATCGCGCCATTGCACTCCAGCATGGGCAACAGAGTGAGACTTTGTCTCAGAACAACAACAAAAAAAGGAAAATCTAATTCAAATGGAATTAACAGATTTTATTGGCTCAGTAATAAAAGCTCAGATGTGGGAGTACTGTGATTAGACTTGGTTCCTTGCTGTTCTCGCATGGTTGTTGGCTTTACCTCAGGCTGGCTTCCCTCCTAACCACAAGGTGGCTGAGTCAGCTCCTGGCCTCACAACTGCCCGTTCAGAAAGAGAAAGTATCTGTCTTCTCCCAGTCATGGTGTGTCTTCTCCCAACCATGCTGGGCTTCAGTTTGGACCAACCTCAGTCACATGCTCACTCCTAAAAGAATCACTGTGATGAGTACATACTCTCAAGGAAAGAAGGATGGGGTTATGCCTGAGTCAATCACGAACCACCAGTGGAACTGGTAGTGATGCAGGTGAACCCCCAAACTGGGGCTCAGCCTGGGAGGGTCCTTGTGTGCAGGAAAGAATTCAACAGCCAGTCGACAGAGTAAAGTAAAAGCAAAGCAAGTTTCTTAGAGCAACAGAGTCCGGGAAAATGGCAGCTCCATAGACAGAGCGGGGCTATTCCACAGGCAGAGTAGTACTTGTGGATTGCTGGCTAGCTCTGTGTGTGTGTGTGTGTGTGTGTGTGTGTGTTTTGAGGTGCAGTCTCACTCTGTTGCCCAGGCTGGAGTGCAGTGGCACAATCTTGATTTACTGCAGCCTCCGCCTCCCAGGTTCAAGTGATCCTCCTGCCTCATCCTTTTGAGTGCTAAGATTACGGATGCCCACAACCACACCCAGCTAATTTTTATATTCTTTGTAGAGACGGGGTTTCACCATGTTGACCAGGCTGGTTTCGAACTTCTGACCTCAAATGATCTGCCCACCTCGGTTTCCCAAAGTGCTGGGATTACAAGGGTGAGCCATTGTACCTGGCCTGCTAGCTAGGTATATTATTTATAGCTACTCCTTAACTATATGCTAAATAAGAAGTGGGTTATTCACATATTTTCTAGAAAAGGGGTGAGGATTCCTGGGACAGAGGGTTCCTCCCCTTCTAAAGCATATAAGGTAACTTCTGGGCATTGCCATAGCGTTTGTCAGCTGGCATTGGTGGGAGTGTCTTTTAATATGCTAACACATTATAACTAGCATATATTCAGCAGTGAGGGCAATTAGAGGTCACTTTTGTCACCATCTTGGTTTTAGCTCGTGTCTTCACATCCTGTTTTGACCAGATGCTTTCTTGATCATCGGGGTCATGACCGGTGCTTGGAAAACAAGTCCTGCTGATCTCCTGCCTCAGAAGGGAGGGGCGGTGGTATACACCAATCCCACCCCAATCACCTGCCTGCCATAGCACGGAGGTGTTGAAATGGATCTTGATGGTTTTAATGATATTCTTAAAAATTAGAAAGTTTAAATAATCAATATCTTTTGTCATTAGGACTAATAACCCAAAAGAGTCAAAAATAATTATATGAAGTATAATTAATATGCCAATTAACAATGTAGAATGTGTTTTCAGACTATGAACTTTTTAAACATTATACAAATATTTTATTCACTTGGATAAGCGAGAGTCCATCTGCTTTTGTGAAAGTTCATTCTTTTTTTTTTTTTTTTAAAGATGGGGTTTCTCCATGATAGCCAGGCTGGTCTTGAACTCCTAACGTCAGGTGATCCACCCACCTCGGCCTCCCAAAGTGCTAGGATTACAGGCGTGAGCCACCGCGTCCGGCCTTGTTCATTCATTTCTTAATGATGTTTTTCAAGCCCAGTATTTCTTTCATGTCACCATTAACATAACCTTTCTAAATACAAAAATTCACAGTTCACATTATGAAATTTTAATAGCTAGTCTTTGTTTTGAACCGTGAACAATATAGATTTATCCCCCAATTCATCCTTTTTTTTCAAAATGAGTTTAAAAAGATCTTTCTCTTTTTCACAAGCTAGAAAGTATCCTTCGTATGATGAAGATTCAAACTGCATCTTATCATCATGCCCTGGAACACTTCTTTGAAAAAATATGATGTCACTTTTTGCATCAATGATGTTATCAGGAGGACTGATTTCCTATAGAGAAAAAAACCAAAATTACCTAATTATTTCAGGACATGAACAATTTGAATATATGAAGTTTATTTTGAAGTATGTTACTGAACAGAACAAAAGTAGTTTGTCTTCTCAAGAGTTATATAAAAACATCTCTGAACAGCAACAATGACCTCCTCTCTTTTTTAACTCTGAATCTCCTATTCTCCCTGTCATGGGATGCAGGGAGATCCAGGCCTCTAGTTTTCCCCTATCCATCAGACAGCTTACTTCTCTGCTATTCCATTGAGTGGTGTCCACATCTGCTCAAGATGAAGTAGAGTTCCAGCAAAGACCATAACCTTTTTGGGCTAATGTCAGTTCCTGTCTTCTATAAACCATTCACAGCTAAAGACATCAATGACCTCCTCCCATAAACTTATGCTAGTTTGGCTGGGCGCAGTGGCTCAAGCTTGTAATCCCAGCACTTTGGGAGCCCGAGGCGGGTGGATCATGAGGTCAGGAGTTTGAGATCAGCTTGACCAACATGGTGAAACCCTGTCTCTACTAAAAATACAAAAATTGGCCAGGCGTGGTGGTGCACGCCTGTAATCCCAGCTACTCAGGAGGCTGAGGCAGGAGAAGCACTTGAACACGGGAGGCATAGGTTGCAGTGAGCCAAGATTGCGCCACTGCACTCCAGCCTGGGTGACAGAGTAAGACTCTGTCTCAAAAATAAATAAATACAAAATAAAAAAACTTAGGCTAGTTCTAGTTTTTCTTTTTGCTTTGAGACAGGGTTTCACTCTGTATCCCAGCCTGAAGTGCAGTGGTGAAATCATAGCTCACTGCAGCCTTGAACTCCTGGGCTCAAGCAATCCCCTTGCCTTAGTCTCCTGAGTTGCTGGGATTATAAATGCACACCACCACACTTGGCTGATTTTTAAATTTATTTTTGTAGAGATGGCGGGGGGGTCAGGGTGGAATCTCACTTTGTTGCCTAAGCTGGTCTTGAACTCCTGGCCTCAAGTGATCCTCCCACTTCAGCCACCCAAAGTGCTGGGATACCAGGCACGAGTCACCATATCTAGCCTGGCCAGTTCTTGTTTCAGAGCCAACCATGAGAGAGACAGGCGCCAGGAATCTTAGCTCACTCTTTCAGTGGAGCTGGAAATTAAAACTTACTGTGAATAGAACCAATACTTGTTCTACAGCTAGGCCCTGGATTCCTGTGTAAACCTGCTGTATTGGCTCAGCTGGCAGTCCTGGACTCTGTCTCCCTGCCAAGAACTCTAGTTCCATGGTAGTCTTGAATTTCTGTCCTGAATATGGTTTACTTGGCTGGGCCCTGCCCTAGAAGGCCAAATTCTGATTGCTGTATTTTATTATCTAGAACATAGGCTACTTTTATAACCATTGCTAAGATCCTTATTAGTGGCAGGAAAAGAGATTAAAGACAAGAGCTAAAACTGGTCCTAGTCCACCCCCCTCTGCTCTCTCCCTCTCTCCCTGTCTCCAACTAATATGTATTCCTTCCAGAAGCAGATTTGCTATGATACTGATGAAACTTAAATGTCAGATTCTCTTATTTGCACAGGTCTCTTCTAGCCACCCCTGCCCTTTCAAAAATTTGAAATAAATGATTAAGCTTATGCCTTTGGTAGCTTTACATTCTTTTTTTTTTTTTTTTTGAGATAGAGTTTCATTCTTGCTGCACAGGCTGGAGTGCAATGGACTGATTCAGCTTACTGCAACCTCTGCCTCCTAAGTTCAAATGATTCTCCTGCCTCAGCCCCCTGAGTAGCTGGGATTACAGATGTACACCACCACACCCAGCTAATTTTGAATTTTTAGTAGAGACAGGGTTTCTCCATGTTGGTCAGGCTGGTCTTGAACTCTTGACCTCAGGTAATCTGCCTGCCTTGGCCTCCCAAATTGCTGGGATTACAGGGGTGAACCACTGTGCCCAGATATATTCTTTTCCTTTAGTAGGGCCATTGAAATTGTATAAGCTTCAGACTCCCCCAAATACAGATTTGTCTAATTCCTACTAAGTACCAAGCATTATTTCCATCTCCTTAACATTGTCGCCGTCTCCCCCAATAAGAATCCACTTGTAGGTCGAACTTATCCTAGTTTCTGAATCTGCCTCTGCAGCTGAGTTTTCCTCTATCCCATGTAGCTTGAGCTTGGCCATATCCTTCCCTTCTAATTCTGTTGCTCAGTAACAGCATGCTTAACCCTTTCCACCCCACCCTTCCATCCCAGGCCACTAATGCTATTTTGATAACTAAGCTGCCTGCCTGTCAGGTCTAGAATGGGGACTCCGAATTGTCACCTGAAAGGGTGGCACTTTGGCTGGAGGGAGATAGCTGAGGGATTTGTCTGGAGGCTATATCTGTTGTATATGTACTGTTCTTACTTGGATTATATTTTAGAGTGGCTTTTTTCTCTCTCCCAAGTTGCCCCTTGGTACTTTCACTAAGGTTATATCCTAACTCTCTTTCACTGGGGACTGGGTGGGCATAAAAGCAGTTATTTATTGGTAAATCTCCACTCAAAAAGAATCTTCACGACATGAAATTCTCCTCTGAAGCATTGTCAATTTGTAAGCATCACTGGCTACCCTTTTTCTCCCCCCGCCGAGACGGAGTTCAGCTCTTGTTGCCCAGGCTGGAGTGCAATGGCATGACCTTGGTTCATTGCAACCTCCGCTTCCCAGGTTCAAGTGATTCTCCTTCCTCAGCCTCCCGAGTAGCTGGGATTATAGGCACGTGCCATCACGCCCAGCTAAGTTTTTGTATTTTTAGTAGAGACAAGGTTTCATCACGTTGGCCAGGCTGGTCTCAAACTCCTGACCTCAGGTGATCCACCTGCCTTGGCCTCCCAAAGTGCTGGGATTACAGGCGTGGGCCATCATGCCCGGCCTTCTGGCTACTGTTACTGTGAGGAGAGTTTCCTGGCTCCGTCTGTAGCTATAGTTAATTGTGGTTTATCTAACAATAATGGAGGAAAGAGAGAAATATAATAGAGAATAATAACAGAGAATAATAGAGAAAAAGTAGTAGCTAGAAATACTTTATACCTGGTTTTCAGATAATTATAGCATTACTTTTGTAGCTGATCCACAAACTTTATTCTATTAGATTAACATTAAAAATAACATACATCAACTGGAAGCTGAAGCTTGTGTCTAAGACTTAGGCTAAGGATCAGGAACAAAACAACTAGGGATTGAAGTATCATCATAGTTTACAAAGGTGTGGAAGTATAGAAGGATAATTAGCTTCTTCATAGCAGAACTTATTCTGGAAAGTTACATGTTATTCTTAAATATATAACTCACTATGGATTCTATACTATTCTTGTATAAAGACTGATTATTCAGGAGATGCAGGTCATAAAACAAGTGTTATATCTTCTCCTCCCGGTGACAGGCTCAGAAAAACCAGTGTTATCACAATAGGTAAAGAGTTTGATAATTTTTAGGAAGTATTCATTTTAATGGTTCTCTGCTTCTTGTTATTTCTGTTCTAGACAAAAGGTTGGTCTGAGGATATTTTTCTAATTATATTATTTATATTAACATTAGAAATAATATATTTCTAATTATATTATTTATATTAACATTAGAAATAATATATTTCTAATTATATTAATTATATTAACATGATTGAAAACACAGTAAGGCTCAGTCTTACCTTAAAGGAAATAATTTTGTTCTCACAGGAAAGAGTTGAAATTTTTCCACACTTCACGGAAATGGTTACAGCCAGACCTCTAGGCTCACTATCTTTATACATATATATGATAAATATGGTCCGGGATGCATTTTCTGAAAAAAGTATAATAAATGAGAACTCTAGTCAGAAGAAATTTTGCACAGCAACATTTGTGAAAATTTAACCAAAGAACAGTCCTTAATACATTTGTTCCCATGTTGAGACTTGGCCAGTCTGCAGGAGACTATGTACAGCCAGTCGGACATTTTTAAAAACACATTTCAGTCCTGGCATGGTGGCTCATGCCTGTAATCCCAGCATTTAAAAGTTAAAAACAATCTTTTAAAATTTGTATCTTTAAAATACTCAAAAAAGTTGTAGCATGTGTCTTGTAACACACATTAAACTGTGATGTGGGTTGTTTGTTTGGGAGGCTGAGACAGGCAGATCACTTGAGGTCAGGAGTTTGAGCCCAGCCTGGCCAACATGGTGAAACCCCATCTTTACTAAAAATACAAAAATTAACCGAGTGTAGTAGTGCGTGCCTATAGACCCAGGTACTCGGGAGGCTGAGGCATGAGAGTCACTTGAATCTGGAAGGAGGAGGTTATAGTGAGCTGAGATCGCACCACTGTACTCTAGCCTGGGTGACAGAGTCAAACTGTGTCTCAAACAAATAACTTCCAATTTAATATGTGTTACATATACATGCTACAACTTTTTTGAGTATTTTAAAGATATGAATTCTAAAAGCTTGTTTTTAACTTTTAAATGCTAAATAAAATATTTAAAATATATTTGTTAAGGTAAGCGTTCAGTATTTTTAAATAATGCACATTCAACTGCTTTAATTCAGCCTAACTTCGATATTTGGAATTCATATTTTGGAAGGCACAGTAGACTTGATCATTTTCTTTTCAAGTTGTTTTTTTTTTTTAAATTTTGAGACAAGATCTTTACATCACCCAGGCTGGAGTGCAGTGGCTATTCATAGGCTTTATCACAGTGTATTTATAGCCTCAAAGTCCTGGCCTCAAGCAATCCTCCTGCTTGAGCCTCCCAAGTAGCTAGGATTACAGATAGATGCCACCACACATGGCAACTTAATCATTTTCTATTGTACTTTAAGTTTCTGGGGGAAGATAGACTCATTTGAAATGCATATTTATTTTTAATATTTTGAAAACTATCAGCATTTTCAGCTGTAATGAGCAGGGATTAAGCAACCAACTATAGAGGTTTTAAACAGTTAAAGCAATCATAATGAAGGGATCGGTGATTCAAAGGTAGGCTCAGAGTGGCAAGACCCCTATCAATGTCTTATTGTATTCAATTTTTTACCCCAGCTAAAAAACGTGGATGCCTTATAAAGTTTCTTGTAAGTAAAATTGTTATTACTCCTGTGACTTTTCATCTGAGGATTGGGATTAGTAGGGAAAAATATAAGTGGTAAAACAGAATGAGAAGAAGTAGCTAGTCATTTCTGTTTGTGAATAAAAATAATTACCTTCACAGTCAGAATCAGTCATATCCTCAAACAGAGGGTAATTTCCTTCACCAAGGAAGAGAACTTGGTCATCCAAATTTCTTATAATTGATAATTTGGATTTAAGCTTGGCAAAGTGATCTGTTTCCAGGTTTTCTATAATAAACATTAAATCTCATTAAAAATACATACTTTCTTTGTTAATCTACAAATAAGTATGCTATATATTTCAGTTTCGAAAAGTATTGATGACAATCTTCTGTTCCAGAAGCAGGCACAATAAAGTTGGCTATTTTCTTTTTAACCTAATCTCAAAGGCACACTCAGATTCTTGTTACCACTCAGAACTATTCTGCCTCTGAAATGTTAACTTCAAGCATCTTACTTTCTGACCAGTCTCTTCTCCTTTTAGTTTTCTTACACTTTTACTTCAACTATACATGTTCTTAGATTTCACAATATCCTCCAGTCTCCTGACTCTTGTATTTCCCCTCTAACCTCTTCCTATCTTCCCTTCCTTCCCTGTGCAGCTGGATCTCAGAGTTCACTTTGTCTGCCATTTTGCTGGGATATTAAATCCCTAACTCATTTGTCTTTCTGCTACAAAACTCCAAACATGGCTGCTGAGTGCTGCTGGTGAGCAATATAGCACGTGTTCAAATCGGTGCCATTACAAGCATATCAGTTGTCAAAACTTCTTTTGCTTTCCAGTTCAGCACTCTCTTCCATAGTTCATAGCCGCAATTCCAAATTTTCTTTGCTCTCTTCAGGACCTCTCTACCATCATCTCTGCTTCCATTTTCAGCAAATGATTTCCTGCTCTGCGACTCCACTTGCAAACTTAACTCTGGCAGCACAGGAGTTGCTAAAGAAAACTAAAAGAAGGGACTGGTCAGAAAGTGAGATACTGGAAGTTATCTCCTCTCTCCTTTTTGTCCCAAGGGGAAATGCGAAGGTCTGACTCCCATTTGTGCTCGGCATGTACCCTCTACTGAAACCCTGATTGACCAATCATCCTTCTCTTCTATCAACCCAGCAATTCTACCTCCTAGATTTTCTCCTAAAGAAACAATCAGACAAATGTGTAAACATTTTTGTACAGGAATGCTTATGGGAACACTGTTAATAACAACAACAAACTGTAAACAAACATCCACCAATTAGGAATGGATTAAATAAAAAGGGCAAAGATATGCCCTTATTGTGAAATGTTATGACTTTAATATAACTGCAATTACTCATTGCCATGGAGAGATGTCCACATATATCACTAACTAGAAAAAGCAGCTTAGGTATGGTATAATCCCTTTTAATATAAATATAATCATTTCTGTGTCTGTATATAGATATATTGAAAGAAGTATAAATATATTGTATCAAAATGGTAGCTATCATTATTTCTGGGTGGTTTTCATACTTTTATCTTTCATACTATCTTTTTTCGTTGCCTGAATTAGTTATAATGAACACATTTTCCTAATCAAAAAAGCACAAAGTTCTTTTTTTTTTTTT